GGTCAGTCCTAGAGGAGATCCACCCTGGCTGCTCTTTAGAAGGCCAGATCCCGAAGAGGAAACTCAAAGACTTTGGCCACCTGAAGGCTGAGACATCCAGCGTGGAAACTTACAAAGGTTGCCAAGGTTTCTAGCTTCTGTCATTCCCAAGTGAACCAGCTGGGGCTGATGGGGTTTGTGGTTCTGGAAACCCTTTGGGAGCGTGGCCTCCAGAGGAAAGCTAGCTGGCTCCGTTTAGTGTATTTGCTTATTTTCATTATTATTCCGCCAATTAAAAATTGAGATTTATTTTTTTGCCCGAAACAAGCCAGTGTTTGTTCTCACATAAGTGGAAATCCCCCAAAATGGGTGGAATCCAAGATCTAAAATTATCCAGGACTGCTTGAAAGGCCGGCAAATCAATGGTGGCTCTGTGTGACAAGGACATGTGGCAGGAAGGAGGTGGAGGTGAGCTTGGAAGGCTGAAGGGGAGATGTTTGCAAAGGTTGCTGGTGGATGCGAACCAGTCCGAGGAGATTCAGAGCAGACACGACGAGGGTCCGGGGGCCACAGAGGTCCCTCAAAAGGTCCTCCAAACTCTTGCAACCTGGCTCAAGGTTCTACAGAAGAGAACACACTGGAAAAAAACAACTTTGGAGAACTCCAGAAGGTCCTCAACTCTTGTCGAAAAGAATCAAGGAATCTGGTCATCAGACAGTAGACAGGGAAAACAATTTTGGGGGGAGAACTTCAGAAGATCTTCAACTCCAACCCAAGGATTTGGATCATCAAACAGTGGACTGAAAACAACTGTGGAGAACTTCAGAAGGTCCCCAGTTACTGCCGGGAAGAGTCAAGGAACTAGATCTTCAGGCGGTGGACAAAAAAAAAACTTTGGAGAATTTCAGAAGGTCTACAGCTGGGAAGAATCAAAAGGATTTGGGTCATCAAACTGTGGGCTGAAAACAACTTTGGAGAACTTCAGAAGGTCCTCAACTCTTGCTGAAAAGAATCAAGGAATCTGGTCATCCTACAGTGGACAGGAAAAAGAAAATTTGGGGAGAACTTCAGAAGATCTTCAACTCCAACCCAAGGATTTGGATCATCAAACAGGGGACTGAAAAGAACTTTGGAGAACTTTAGGAGGTCCTCAACTCCTGCCAGGAAGAATCAAGGATTTGGGTCATCAAACAGTGGACTGAAAAAAAACTTTGGAGAACCTCAGAAGATCTCCAACTCCAGCCGGGAAAAGTCAAGGAACCAGATCATCAGGCGGTGGACTGGAAAAAAAAACTTTGGAGAACTTCAGAACGTCTCCAGCCAGGAAGAGTCAAAAGGATTTGGGTCATCCAACAGTGGACTGAAAACAATCTTGGAGAATTTCAGAAGGTCCCCAACTCCAACTGGGAAGCATCAAGGAATCTGGTCATTAAACAGTGGACTGAAAAAACTTTGGAGAACTTCAAAACGTCCCCACCAAAGACCAGGCAAGGAGCAGATTGTGGACATCGGAAAGAACAACAAAGATCCGATACTATCTCCGAAGGGGATCTAATTTGTCCTGGGCTTAGCAAGGGATCTTGAAGGACTGGAGTGACGGGGGGAACTGGGACCCCCAAACCCCACCCCCTGTAAGCATGTCCTTCTTCTCCGTCCTGCTGATGGCCTCATGGATCCTTGGCCCGCACATGACTGATTGCGCATTTTCCATGTGCCAGAATTTGGATCTTGAGGCGGCTCGGGCCAGAAGGATTGAGGCGATCCGGGGCCAGATTCTTAGCAAGCTGCAGCTGGAGACACCCCCCAAGGAAGAAGGGGTGCCCCACCCTTTGCCCCCCGAGGTGATGCTCCTCTACAACAGCACGTGGGAGCCGGTGAGGCGGGTAGCCACCTGCGAGGGAAGACGCATGGCTCGGCGCGAAGACGAGGAATATTACGCCAAAGAAGTCCGGCGGGTGGAAATGTTGACCTCCGGACACGCTGACAGTAAGGAGGGGGGTATTTGTAAAAAAAAAAGGGGGGGGTTGGCCTTTGGCAAAGGGAGGAGAAAAGGAGGAGAAAAGGAAGGAAGAGGGAGGGCGGAAGGATGGGGATCTTGAACATTGGGCAAACTATCTAACAATAATAAAATGCAATGGTGAAAAGAGTAAGGTTCTACATTTAGGCAAGAAAAACGAAGTGCACAGGTGCTGTGGCCTCTCTGGATTTCCGATCGCCCTTTTTTTTAGCCACAACTGACAGATCAGGGACAATGTAGATTTTAAATGATTTGGCCATTTAAACCAGGGATCTCCGCAACTTTAAGACTTCAATTAAATCGAAGATGATAATGGAATAAAAATCTCCGACGGATCTTTCTCACCCCACAGATTCCATCCCCGGCCCTTTCTCCACCCCCTTCTTCCGATTCCTGCACTTTGGGGTCTCCGCTGCGCACCCCAACTTCAGCCACCTGATCCAAGCTGAGCTGAGGATCTACAAGGTCCCGAATCCTGGATCCCACGCCACTGAGCAGCATGTGGAGCTCTCTCAGGTTAGGAGATTTGGAATCTTGCGGCCACCGATTTTGTGCGTCGATGCTAAATCTCCTGTTGGGGATATTAGGCTGAGAAACTGACTAGGACAGCTGCCTGAAGAGCTTAAAATAATGTATTTTTTTTAAAAAAAACCTGAACTCTAGGTGAGGCCAACGAGGGAGTCTTCTGCCCAGACCCAGCGTTATGTGGGAAGCCGAGTTTTACTGCCCAGGCATCGGGCCGAGTGGGTGTCTTTTGATGTCACCGAGAGCGGCCGTCGGTGGGTGAGGAACAGAGGTAAGAAGGCTTTGCTAGGCTGGAAGAGAGTAACAACGATCCACGTTCTCAAAAGTACAGCAGTGAGAATTGTATTTGCACAACCCTGGAAAAAATGAGGATACCCCTACAGATGAATATATATATATATATATATATTTTAAAATAGATTGTGCAGAAATGGATAGAATAGAATAGAATAGAATATAAAGATGTAATACTATCGGATGATGTAATGAAACGCTATTATATGTGTGTGTGTGTGTGTGTGTGTGTGTGTGTGTGTGTGTGTGTGTTGTATTTGTGCTG